ATTGAAAACAGACTTCATGAAGGAAGTGGCATTTGCATGAGGCCTTGAAAGAGGAATAGGATGTTTTCTGGTTGGAGCTAAAAACAAGAACAAAAGTGTGCAGGTGTGAGAGAGTCCACTGTGAGTCTAAAGTGGAGGAGGCCTTGGGGTGTGTTTGGGGATATCTGGGAAGGGAGGATGGGAAACCAAAGGAGGCCGAAAAGAGTGGTTAAATTCAGATTGTGAGAGACCTTGAATGAAACACAATACCTTCTATCAAGGATTGTGGGAAATCACCGAGGTAGTTTGATTATTATTTTGTCAGATTACATATATAATATACAAGGGTAAGTCAAAAAATATTGCCAGCAGATTCTAATGCATGCATGCACAAGCTTCCTCCAAACCAAACATCTTGAAATATGCCTGAGAGTGGGTGGCTGCAGACAGCTCTCTCTCAGTCATACACCTACTTGTCTTGGTCTCATAAGGGTACCTTCAAAAACAGCAAAAAAGCTGCAATCAGACTCGTGACTTCGAGCAGGAACACATTTGAGATAAAAAAGACAAGGTTCAAAGGGTCTTAGGAGAGGAGGAGGGCTGCAAACAGGACACACAAGTAGCCAGTGGGGTGATACTGTGTTGTGAGGCTTGCAGTCAATGAGATAAAACAAATGTGTATGAATCGTGGAATGGAAAACTGAGCAAACTTCCACCCAATTTGCAATAGAAAGGATGCGGGAGGGGCCAGTTCCTAGGGGATCTGCTTGGACCAGTTCAACTCCAGGCCGCCTCCGAAACGGTGACCTTGGTAGATTTTCTCCAAGGACACAGAACGATCATCTTCTTAGGAAGGTTAAGGGAAATGGAATATTGCTCCGGAGGAAAAGGCCAGACGGCTGCTGAACTGCTTCCTGTCCAAGCTCACTTGTTCATTCTTTGAGGACAGCAAGGGCCGCCCTGTGGGAATTTTGTTGGGAAGCCTTGCCCCGTCCGCCCTATAGCCCTTATCTTGCCCCTTCAGATTTTTTATTTTTACCCCCCAAACGCAAGGAATGTGCAGAATTCTTCAGGTAAAGGGTTAAAAGAACCCACTGCCAAGAGTCCATGCTGACTCATAGTGAGGCTCGTGAGAGATACACAATAGAAACAATAGATTCACATTTGCATATTTTTAGTTAATTGGGGTTTCTCTGATCCTGTAAGC